AAGTGGGGTTTTTTAATACCACTCATGGACACTGGGAGGGAAGGGAGTTTTGTATTTGTATTTTTTTTGTACTGTGTTTATTTTGATTTGTTGTGAATAATATATTTGAAAATTAAATTTCTTGTTTCTGTGCTCATTTCCTTTTGTTAAACGTTATTTTGTCACTTAGTATTTATTTAACAGTTAACAGGGTGTGTAGTTGTAATTTCTTTATATTTTACATGTCCTGGTGTGTTCGGTAAACAAACTAACTCTAAACCATAGATTAAATCCAACAGTAAACTCATAATCTGGTCAAAAAACATCCTATAAGTCAGGAGGGAGACCTGACTGGCGCCCAACTTCATTATTCATATTAACAACAATAAACAGCACAACGTTAGCTGCGTGCAGTTTACGGCACCTCATGGCCCATAACGTCATTTGTTTACAATCTGCTGCTGCTCAGCGTATGTCGGCAACATGACGACAACAAAAGTTGCGAGAAAGTGGCAAAGTCAAATTTGGGATTTCTTCTAACATGACTGCGAGAAAAATAAAAGCATGTGTCTTGTGGAAAGAAGYGATAAAATGGGTGGAATAYGTCACAAGRGGAAAAMCKTAATCAAYCTCACACAAAGACGGCTAACTGTGAGTATCTTGGTAAGCTAGCTTCTCTCAGCAACAGCCCAGCCAGGTATCGCCAGCATGGATAAACTATTGTCACCTTCCTAAAATTATCACCCAATCCTTTGTTGGAAAAATTATGTTACATGATTATTTTAGGAAGGTGTTGCTATAATGGATGGGTGGGACGTGTCCCTCACAGGAGACAGGAGGAGACAGGCGCATTCCAGCACAAAGCCACCATCAGTAAAACAGAGTAGYAGGACTTATTTGTTTTTTTTTTGTTTGTTTGTTTTTGTCAGTGTAACACCGGTGAATAACACATATAGTAAGGGCAACAMCTGATCATAGTTTATCAATATGCATGACAATATATTAGATATTATGTGCAATAAGTAGTGAGACATTTGAAGCAATAAAAGGTGGAGAGATGGAGGAAGTTAAGGAGAGGTCTTAAATTAGTTYAGTGAAATATGTATGTATAAATATGTGAAATATGCTTGTTAATACTTTTTAAACATATTTTTTATCATGAGAAGAAGAGAGAGGAGAACAGGTGGAGCAAAAGCGTGTGAGGTCCTGTTTAAAAACCATATTAAGTATAATAGATGCAGAAAGAACAGGTGAGGACTGATGTCAGGTTGATGTTTCATTATTTCCACAGTTATAAAGGTTAGGGTTAGGGTGYGATTAGGTTGTCAGCTGCAGAACAACAACCCACTAGAGTTCTGTACATTTATYTGGTGAAATGYGTCTCTGTAGTGATCAATACATGAATTTTTTTTTCTCGTTTAGTTTAAAATGAGCCACCTTTWGGTTCAGGAGTGTACCTCATCTCTGAAGTCATTTTGTATGTTTAGCAGCAGCAATGCAGGGGCTGCTGCTAAACATAAAGGAGACAAGAGGAGAGGAGGTACAGAGCTGGAGGTCTTGAATTAAATTAGTGAAAACTTTTACTGTAAGTTTTACTGTAGGTTGTCAGCTTCAACAGAGCTGACAGCATATGAGACGTAATGCATACATCTGTAAATCAGTTGTATGATAAAAACCTTAACAGATACTTTTAGCTTCTGTAAGTCACTTGCTGGTGCTGTACTTTACAAAATGTAGTGKTCTCTGTTGTAAATGTGTTGATGCCATGCAGGGACATCAGAGGCAGGAAGTCAGAGTGAGGGAGAGACAGGAGTAGACTCACAGGTAAGAGAGAGGAACACAGAACAGGTATTTTTATATTAGAAAATCTTATGATGGCAATAATTTTTGTAAATATTGCAATGATATCAGAAGTGATCTATGTCTTTTTTTCTTTCCTCTCTTTCTAATCTGTACTTCCTATTTTATGTGACTTTTAGTATTTTTGGTCAGGTGTGAGCTTTTGCTGCCATGANTATGTCTTTTTTTCTTTCCTCTCTTTCTAATCTGTACTTCCTATTTTATGTGACTTTTAGTATTTTTGGTCAGGTGTGAGCTTTTGCTGCCATGAGACCCTGTCCTACGGGCTAAATATTTCATTAGCATGAAAAATACAACTTCAAACCTCTTCAAGTACATTAGTCAACAATTATTGTGCATCAAGAAGTCCTTTGCGGTATGAATATTGCACACTCTGACACTGTGATAACAATACAGTATATTCGTTGTGCTGTGCAATCCAATTAGACTCGAGATATTTTGTTGGGTGGTTTACTCACATCACCATTTTTTCAAGATAAGATCCGGTAGCTATGTGTGCTTTGTTTTGTTAACTTTTAGAATCCTTTCTGGTAGAATGAGCTAACTTGCCACGAACATTAGGTGTAATATTAATGAATTATATATAAATACACCATCAGTGGCGGCTGGTGGAATTTTCTCCAGATGGGGCTACAACTCCAAAATAGACGTATCCCAAAAAGCAATCAAATGTGTACTAAGTTGTATCACGCCAGTGTATTTATTAAACAAATGACAATAATAAAACAGCATTACAATGCCATTACAATGTGTTTTATTTTTAGTACATAAATTTTGCTCTTCTGTTACTGAGAAGCAAATTTCTTCATGACTGAATTTATGTGGGTCCACATCACGGATTCGGTGAAAGCAGCCATCAAGAAAACAAACTCAATTCCTGCTGTTATTCTTGGAGGTACAACAAAGTTTTTGCAACCCCTGGACATCAGTGTGAATCGTGCATTTAAAGCAGCACTCAGGGGTGAATGGGAGGTTTGGATGACTGTCGGGGATAAATCATTAACAAAAACTGTGCGAAGAGCGTCATTTCCTGATGTCTGCCAGTGGATCCAAACAGTGGAGCAGAGTAAATGAGTCCACCATCACCAATGGGTTCCGAAAGGCTGGACTGCTACGTGAATAGGCCACCACAGCTTCAGAGCCAGCATTACCCCGGGAGGATAGCGACACAGAAAGTAACACTGAACAGATACCGCTGTGTGATGCAGTTTTTCTGAGCTTGTTTAACGCCGACACTGAAGAGGAGGACTTCGCTGGTTTCAGTGCGCCGGAGGAAGATGAATGAGACGATTTGTTGGACCAGAAACTGTTAAAGAAAACTACCAAAATAAGGTCAGTTAAATGAACCGTATTCCTCCGAACTTTAAATCCTAAAGGTTTGCTTTATGTTGGGGGTGCGGCTTATAGTCCGGTGCGGCTCATATGCTAATGTTCGCAGGTTTTAAAAAAAAAATGGCGGGTGCAGCTTATAGCCTGAAAAATACGGTAAATAAAATAACAAGCCAGAATGAAAACAAGCCAAAATGAATTAAGATTAACAACTTTCTACTTCTTACTTTTTTAAAAAATGTAAGGAGTAGAAGTAAAAAGTCGTCTAAAAATAATTAAGTAAAGTACAGATAAACAAAATGTCAAAAAAAAAGTACAGAAACAAAGTATTAGTACTTCGTTACTTTACAACTCTACCTATGAATAATAATTCACTGATGTGTGTGAAGATTTCTGTCTTGTTACTGAACAGAAATGTCTGAGCAGAAACAAACTGCAGACATTCATTGTTTAAACAGATTCTTGTTCAGCTCTGTGTTCTGTTGCTGTGTAATGTTTTGTTCAGTTTATGTTAATCAGTAAAAGCTATGTTTGTTATGCTCACAGCATTTGTCATGCAAGAAGAAATGTCGGCTGCTTTCAGTAGCCGGACACAGAAATGAGTTCCGGCAAACACACAGGTAAACAAACCCATTCCATGAGCCGAGCTGTCTTTTTAGGCCTCACGACAGGAAGATTAACAACAGATGTGTCTGGAACGGCACAGCAATCTACTATGACAACTGTCAACAATAACAGGAAAGTATAGCTAAAATAGGGAACAAAACCCATCAGTAGCTTCAATTATAACATAATWAATATTTCACTTATATAATATTTTTGTGATCTAAACAGAAAGAAGGCTTTAAAATGATGTGCAGTCATTAGTCATGTGTGCAGAAAGGTCGCTGTACCTGTTTAAGTGTGTAGTGTTGAGCCATGAGAGCCCGGACCATCTCGGGCAGGGCTATGGGAACCCTCGTCAGTCGGTCAGAAAAAGCCGTCAGCAGTTGCTGAGACTTCTGGAGCCACTCCTGTCTTCCAGTGTAGTTGGACAAACGTAGAAGATTGAAAGCTGACACAGAGTTAGCACTGGGCTCAGCTCCATCTTGATCTGTGACAGAAAAAGACACAACAGGTTCTAACTCATTTTATGGACAATGTTTTATCATCTAATGGTTACTAATAGAAAAAATCTCTGGATGACATATTTAGAATGTGGCAGAAGTTAATTATATTGATGTACAGCCTTGTGCTTGTTAAAACAGACTAGTAAAATTCAAAAGTGTTTTTGATCAATAGTTTGTCAGGTTTTTTGAAGTCGGTGGACTTCGGCAGATTTTTCTGTCAGCAGCAAATTTAACATCTCTAAAAACAGACCTTATTGCAGATTTTAGCATTGCAATCCTGATGATTTTTTTAAATCAAAAACATGTCACAGATACTTCATTAGGACTTAATGAAATCATATCAATTTGTGATAAAGGGGCAGAATGTTTCTTCCTTAAATGTCAGATGCCTGATTGTCTTCCCCGCCACACAAACATCCCAGAGTTAATGTGTGATGTGAGGTACTGGCACTGAAGGATGACCTCATCACTTAGTACTGTTATGTGATTGGTCCTTATCTTTTATCGGTGTCCAGTGAGAGCCTGGAGGTAATCTTCAAATGACTCTATGACCTCTCCACAAGTCTGCTTCAAAGCAATGTTCAGATATTTTTGGCTTTTGAAAGCATGTAAGAAAAACACAAGCTTAATTTCCATTTAAATCTAACTGCTTTAATCGGACAGACTTTATAGTATCAGTACACCAATATAATTATACACACAAAGCCACATATTCTTTGTAAACAATTTCAGGCCTTTGTGACAAGCATGAATTAACAATCACAAAACCATGTTTACATCCATGGTTGACCAAACTGCAGAAATAATTGGATTCTACCAGACACTGTTCTTCTTCACCTCATGGTGAGGTTTCCCCCCCGGCGAGCACGTTTCATCATACATATGCATGAACACACTTAGGTACAGCAAAAAGTCTGTCACTTCCCACATGTCACGTTTTTCTACTCTCAAGTAGCTCAGTGGAATGTCATAAAACTCTCTTGAACACTCACACATGCCAACACAATCATTCCAAACAGTCACAAACACAAAGAAAAAACTTTCAGCTTGACTGTACTCCGCCTTTCTATCCGGCCAGGATACTCAAGGTGATTTACACTACAATCTGTGTCCTCATTTACCCATTCACACACACATTCATTCAGCACACTACCAGGTCTCTACAGAGCCAATACAGGTAAATAAATTTATAGACTAATCAGTGCTTTAAACCACACTCATACACTGATGGGACGCACATCAGAGGCCAAGGGGGTTCAGTGTCTTGCCAAGGGAAACTTTGACATGTGTCAGAATAGCAGAGAATTGAACCGTCAACTCTCGCATTAGAGGAGTGACCCCCCTAACCAGTCAGCCACAGCTGCCCCTTTTTACTTTGGTTAAAGAAAGAAAACTCCACAATATTCACTAAAATAACTTGAAACTGACAAAAGTAATAAAAGAAAATACTAAATATTACTAATTACTGAATCAAATTCTAGTTCAAACGATTTCTTTTTCAAAAACATCAAATCTTAAAAAAATGAAACAAGAATTTTTTAAAATACAAGCTTCATAGCTCCTAGGAAAATGTCTCCAGTTTTGTCTTATCTGTCTAAAAGACGAATGAGACACAATTGGAGCTTTTTTGCAACAAGTCTTATCAGTTATACATTTGGAGAAAGTTGATTGAATCTGAATGCCTTGGACAGCATTTACTATGTAAGCTAAAGAGCTTTAATGCCAGCAAACATACCCAGCAACTGGTCACTTGTTGAAAATGTTGTCTCCTTTAGTATGACCTGATGGTGTGAGAAACTCTGAGTCAGAGACAGGTACAAGCTCTCCTGGGTTTTCAAGCAGTTTGATAAAATAATCAGTCATCAGCAAATGCAACCTCACAGACTTGTATAATCAGGTTCTAGAAAAAAAAATTTCAGGAGCCAACTCATCCCCTGCAACCATCACTCAAGTTATGGCCATTTAGCTGGAGACTGATGGTCCCTCTAACAAAGAAACGTGGGTAAAAATATATAATTTGCTCCCACTGCAGCATCCATTCTAAACAGGGTCCTTTGTAAACGTAGACTCACAAAAAATGACAACCATAGTTCACAGATGTTTTTCATTTTACAAAGCTGCGCATCTTAGTGTTTTACTGTTTTATGTCTGTTTTCACAATGCCTTTAAGTTGTTTTTATTACCACACCATACCATACCACTTTTATTTATAAAGCACTTTAAACAGCACAAGGCCAACCAAATTGCTGTACAGTAGACATACACAACAGGACATAGTCAAAATACAGTCAAAATACAGATAAAAATATGGAGCATTTATATTGACAGTATACATAGAACAGAGTTTTGATACATGGTGAGGTTTTGCACCATCTCACTCAGACTCAAAGGCAAGGGAGTAGTAGTGTGTTTTTAAGCGAGACTTGAAGACATCGAGTGAAGGAGACTGTCTGACATGTAGTGGTAGATCATTCCACAGTTTTGGGCCCGTTACGGAAAAGGATCTGTCACCTTTCAGTTTAAGACGAGAGTTAGGGACCTTCAGAAGCAGCTGACCAGATGATCTGAGAGCACTGTGGATGCACTAGATCTGAGAGGTAAGAGGGAGC